GAACCGGCCATCCCTATATGGGATCCGAACCCGCGGCCTTGGTATTATCAGCACTGCACTCCCCCGAGTGAGCCACCGGCCGGCCCTTCACATAGATTTTTCTACACATCTTTTAAAATTTATTCCTAAGTATATTTCTTTTTGTTGTTGCTGTTGCTACTGTAACTGAAGAATTTTTTATATCTTCTTACTGGTTGTTGTATGTCTAAAGGTTAAATATTTAATATGTTAATTTTGTATCCAACCATAGTACTGGATTATCTTGCTTAAACTTTTTAGCTATAAATTACTTTTTTAAATGAAGCTTTCAGCCATTATGAGGAGAATGCACTTTACATTTTAAAATCCCTAGGGAAAATGGCTATTTAATGATTCAATGAGTGAATAAAACGTAAGTAACTTAGAATAGTGCCTCGCATATTTTATGGGCTACTGCTAACAGCAACAGTGGTAATACTGCCTTGAGTTTACACAGTTTTATCTCATTTAATCCTCACAACAACCCCATGAGGTTACAGAACAGATTATTACTTCCATGTTCCAGATAAAGAATCTGAAGGTCAGAGATATTAAGTGATTTGTCAAAGGTCACCTGTCAAGGTAGTGCTAGCATCAGGCCCTGAGTTTCAAGAAAGATAAAGAGATGGGCCGGCCTGTGGCTCACTTGGGAGAGTGCGGTGCTGATAGCACCAGGGCCCCGGGTTCGGATCCCATATAGGGATGGCCGGTTCGCTCACTGGGTGAGCGTGGTGCTGACAACACCAAGTCAAGGGTTAAGATCCCCTTACCGGTCATCTTTTAAAGAAAAAAAAAAAAAACACAAAAAAAGAAAGATAAAGAGATGGGCCGGCCTGTGGCTCACTTGGGAGAGTGCGGTGCTGATAGCCCCAGGGCCCCGGGTTCGGATCCCATATAGGGATGGCCGGTTCGCTCACTGGGTGAGCGTGGTGCTGACAACACCAAGTCAAGGGTTAAGATCCCCTTACCGGTCATCTTTTAAAGAAAAAAAAAAAAACAAAAAAAAAGAAAGATAAAGAGATGAATCCTTTTGTAAAGTGAAGGGTCCCTTAGAATGACTCACAGAAGGTCCGTTTTGATTTTCATTCTGGATGTTCATACACAGGTGTGTTTGGTTGGGGGCACAACCGCCCTGCTCCATAAGGACTTGATGGAGTCGGATTCTCTAGGGGAACATTCTTTGTCACCGAGTACCAGTAAGGAAAAGAATCGGAGCTGCCTCTGTAGTTTGGGTAATGGGGCCTGACCTATAATTGTGTGTTACCTCTTGCTGCTGTGAAGAGCTGTCCATTCATCTCCTTCATCACCCGGCACGATGGCCTTGCGTTGCCAGGGGAGACGAAGAACAAAGAAGTGCAGAGGCCCAGCTGAGTCACAGCCGGGGAAGGTGAGGTGCAGGATAGAAATTGGAGGCCCTGTCCTCTCCCTGGTCCCCCAGGGCCTTTGGCCCCTCACTGCCTCTTTTTCTCCTCACATTCCTCCCCATTTCTCCCCCACCTCCCTCGATCCTGCTCACCACTGGTGTTCATTAGCCTCAGGACTCCTTCTCAGGCCCTGAAGTGGGCCTTCCACTTTACAGAATGAGGAGTCAAAGTCAGGAATGAGGAGCTTTCTAGAAGCTGCCGTGGGGTGGAAGCTGGGACTAGAACTCCAGGTCTCCTCGCAGGGAGTGGGATGCCTCTGAAGGGCCCTGGAGTTGCCACCTCCCGTTTAAGCCTAGATAGGAAGTTATCCCCATAATATCACCATCATGCTGTAAAACTTTCAATGGCTCCTATTGTCTTCGGACAGAAGTAGAGGCTTTCCAGCCTGACATGTCAGCCCTCCACATTAGAGAATCAAATTTGCCTTCCGGCTTTATCTCCCACTTGTCCCCTAAGCCCACAGCTTCTATATGGCACAGCCGAATCCAGACCCAAGTCTGTGAGGTCAGGATCATGGCTAATTCCCTCATGAGCTCATCCCTGCTTGCTCACTATTTCTTTATAGTGGTCTCCTAGCTCCAGATAGGAAGTTGGATGGACTTGCTACATCCATCGCTTCATCTGATAGCTGTAATTCTATTAATGCAGCTCAACTTAAGTTAGGTGTTTTTAACAGCCATTTCACATTGTTTCCTCATTTTTTTTAGCTTGAAATAAACAAAAACTGTAGGTATTTTTCATATAAACTGTGATGGTATTTCCCTGGAGAGGAAAGTGAGGCGTGTCTCCTACTTCCTGAATATATCTGAAGGATCCAGATATTCCCCCTTGCTCCCAGCTAAGATGTGTGTTGTGCTAAGATGTGTGTGCCTCAAGAGTGAAGGAATCGTATAACTTCGTATAATGTATGCTATACGAAGTTATTACGATTAATGCAGCTCAACTTAAGTTAGGTGTTTTTAACAGCCATTTCACATTGTTTCCTCATTTTTTTTAGCTTGAAATAAACAAAAACTGTAGGTATTTTTCATATAAACTGTGATGGTACTGAGAAATATAGGGAGAGAGAGAGAGAGAGAGAGAGAGAGAGAGAGAGAGAGAGAGAGAATATCAATCCTATTTCCTTCTTCCAAGCAACAGAATACTCAGAGCAAGAGTTGAACTGAACACAAACCCCTAAGTGCTAACAAAGTCCCTTTTTCACTGCTTTAGGAAACATTTGCTTTTTCTTATATCCGGATGAAGTTCATCATTGTCCTAGAGAACTTGTCATAGAGAAACCAGGAACTGAGTTCAGTCGAGGTCGGGGTTTCACCAGGTAGGATGATAAAAGGGCAGAGGCAAGGGCATCTTCTGGTTATTTCCTTGATATCCCAGGACACATCATTCTTACTATATCCCAAATCCATTATCTCTTACCTTCTTCCCCAGATTTGCTCCTCTTTCTAGATTCCCTGTCTTAGTTAATAATAATACAATCATCTAATAATACCACTAATAACAGTTATCTATTAAACACATATTATAGCAGATGTGATACCAGATATTTTAAAAGAATCATCTCGTGCGATGATCATAACCTTATGGGGTATGTATTATTCATTTTACAGATGTGGAAACTGAGGCTCAGAGAGGTTATGTAACTTGCTCAAGGTCTCTAGTAAATGGCAGTCAGGATGAAAACTTAGGTCTATCAGGCTCCAAAGTCCTCCTTTCCCATCATCACACCACCTTCAAGTTCCCTTGCCTTAAGACTGCCTACCTCTGACACTTTCCTTCCTCTCACCTTCCACGCCACGTCAGTTGTCACAGTCTATCTGTTCCTCTCTGCATCTTCTACATCACTTGCTACTTCCTGCCATGCCCCTCCCCCCATTCTGCTTCCCCGGTTGGGTCCACCACAATGTAAGCTCCCTTAGGGCAGGGATCCTTCTCTGTCTTGTTTTCTGCTATACCCTCAGGGCCTAGAGCAGTGTCAGGTAAACACTAGGCCCACTAAATAGTTGTTGAATAAAAGGATAAATGTCTGTTGGGAGATAATTCTCCATGGATGTCTCGCCTTTCTGCAAGTCTTGTGGGCAGAGGCACTGGTGGCTTTTTGTTCCAGACTGTCTTTTGGAGGGTGCTTGCATAGCAAATAGCCTTGGAAGATAGAGACAGTGTCTCCCTCTAGTGGAGGGCAGTTTTGTTTGCTGTCTATTGTAATAAAGATAATGTCTGGGGCAAAGGTTGGGAGGTTTGCTTGCAGCCCATTATAAAAGATTGGGGTTTCCTAAGGTTGGAGTTCCTCGGCACGTGGAGTATCACCCGGGTCCAGCCTTGTGTCCCTCCCATGGGACTTGGGGATTAAGGGCAGCTGATTTGAATGTGAAGCTCATGCTGCTTGCTGTGCTATGAGTAATAGAAGTCCTTAGTCTGTGGCCCAGGAGTCTCCTGTCTTCTGCCACCATCTATGAAAGTATGGCAGGCTAACTTGTTAGATTGCAAGGGTAAAATCTCAGTCCCTTCAGCGTTCTTGATAATGGCCCTTATAGCCTTTCACTAGGACAATTAAGACAACACCCACCTCACATCCCTTGCGAACACCAGCCTCTGATGTCAGTGGTCCCCTTAGTGTCCTTCAAAGCAGAGGTAATTCATTAGACTGCTCAAACAGCCCTCCAAGGCCCTGGCAGGATGGCCCCAGCTTCCCTGTCTAACTTCACTTCCCATCACCCGTTGAGCTCCAGCTCAGGCAACCATCCCCCTGCACACCTCCTCCACTCTCTCGCATCTACTATGCCCTCGTCGTGCTGTCCCCTCCACCGGGGCCATCCATTCCCCCCTTCTGTCCGTCCATCCTTTGAGGCCGGGATCATCCACGAGACCTGCCCAGAGCCCAGTCAGAATTTCCCTCTCCCTCACTGTCCCCTACTTTACTTATCTTGTGGGTTCTTCAGTCCTTCTTTGTATTGTGACTATCTGGGTAAAGCCCACTCTGCCTCTCCCAGAGTTTCTGTTCCCTCATCTCTGTGGTCCTCTTAGCCTCTGCAGTCCCTGACATACAGTAGGAGCTCAACAGATGAGTGACATACTGAAGAGCTGAACTGCACAGGGAATGGCCTTGCAGGACGGGAGGGAATGGAAGGACAGTGGAGAGGAAAGGCATCCCAAGGGAAGAGAACAGAGTGATCAAAATAACGGAGGTGAAAACGTCTAGTGCAGGGGGAAGAACCACTTCGGGTGGAACTGAGTTCATGAAGGGAGGCCGGAAGAGCTGAGTCTGTAAAGAAGAAAGTGAGGCCTAGGGCTCGGGAGGGCTTTGGCCATCGGGGCCCCATTTCCCTGAGGACGGAAGCCCTGGTGAGGGCTCCAGGGTCAGCGTCCCCTGACTAGGGGCCTGTAGAGTCTGTGCCCCCCAGGAGCCCCATCTCCGGCTTCCCACCCCCCTCTGCTTGCGTCGGCCATCAGAGCCTCGCTCGCGGCCCGAGAGCCTTGCACTGACGCGGGCCCGCGCGTGAGTCAAGCCTGCGTCACGGCGCCCCGCCGCCAGGGTGGCCTTTCGGAAAACGAGGGAACAGTGCGCGCCGCGCTCCGCCCAGCTCCGTTCCGCTCCGCAGAACCGGCGCCACCAGGGCACAGGGAGGGCGGCACTCGGCTCCAGCTTTCGCAGCCCCACGGGCTCCGTCCGCCGCGGGACCTGGGCCCACCGGCCGCTCCTCCGAAGCCCGAGCGCGCGGCGGGCGGGAGCCGGGTTGGGACTGGCGGCGAGGGAGGGAGCTAGGAGCGAGCGGAGTCCGTGCGCCGGCGCGCAGCTCCGGCCCCCCACCCCCCAGTCCCGGCTGGGGCCTGTCGCCGCCAGACTCGGGCTGCCCGTGGGAGGGGCTGTGCGTCTGGGACCCGTCGGGGACCGCCGCTGCCCGGCCGGAGTGCAAGGGCCGAGTCAGCGCGACAGCCCACGCGGGACAGGTGAGTCGCCGGCCGCGCCCCGCCTGCCTTTACCCGGCCAGCCACCGCAACTTTGCCTGTTCCGGCCCCGCCCCATCTAGGGAGGCCTAAGGACCGAGGTGCGAGGCGGCGCTGCGCCCGTATTCGCCGGACCCTGCGCTGGCCTCGGGCTCCTCCCGCCGCTCTAGTCGCCGTTGCCTGGCGACGGAGCCCTGGGCCGCGCTCCTTGGGCACATTGGGGTGCCCAGCGGCTCACGCACGGGTTGGACACCGGGCTTCAGCTTCTGGTGCTCAGGAGGGCCCAAGAACTCCAGAGGTAATTGGGCAGAACTGCAGAAGCAAGCGCCCGCGGAGGACGGGGGAGCCGCCGGCCCGGGCGATCCCGCCGCCTGGAGCTGCGCGCCCAGGGCGCAATTCCGCAGGGAGGCTACTGCGCGGCTGCGGACCCCAGCCCCAGCAGCTCCTCCTCAGGCCCGTGACCTTGACAGTAACATTGGCGAGAGAAGCAGAACGCTTACGTCCGAGATGAATATTTAATTCCCAGTCCTGGGGCTGGTCCTCGTTGAACTCGGAGCTAGCGGGAGTCCTTCCTCCCTCAGAGGGAACGCATCTGGGAACGGAATGGCAGAGACAGGGGACGTGCGCGGGGAGCCGATCAGGAGGGGGCGCCCTTTAGGGGGAGTGGCCTCTGCCACGTTTATACCTGTGCGCGCCGAGCTCTGAAGCGATGCTCCCGGTGCTCCAGGGAGGGCCGCTCCCCCAGGGGCGCGGCCGTCTTGGAAGGAAACCTGATGTTTCCTTTTAAAGCTCAAACAGCCCTATTGTGGCTCCAAGTTCAGAAATACCGAGGCCACTCACCTTACAGGACTTAGTTGCTGTCAAGTTTTGTTGTTGTTGTTGTTATTTAAAGAAATAATAATTTGATCTTATTCCTCTTTCTCTTTTTTTTTTTTTTTTTTTTAAAAGATGACCGGTAACGGGATCTCAACCCTTGACTTGGTGTTGTCAGCACCACGCTCAGGCAGTGAGCGAACCGGCCATCCCTACATGGGATCCGAACCCGTGGCCTTGGTGTTATCAGCACCGCACTCTACCGAGTGAGCCACAGGCCGGCCCCCTCTTTCTCTTTTTTGAGAAAGATTTTAACGAGCCTTTGGGATTAGGAAATTTCTAACCAGAGCTGCCTTTTAGCTGTGACCACGAGGTAGGTGGGGTTGGGTTGGGAGACAGGAGAGTGTTATAGAGAAGGAAGATTCTTTTGAGGACACAGCCCTCATTAACAGGAACTTCCAGGAACTGAGACAATCCTGTAATGGCTCCAAAAAAATTCAACCAAAACTTTAGTTAGATCCTAACTGTTAAGGCTTTGCTGGATGTGCTGATTGATGTCTGGAGAACAAGGTCAGAGTGTGTCACAGTTAACAAGGGGGTTTCATGTGTCTCACGCTGTGCTCACATTATCCCATGGTGGGGTGAGGTGGCTCCATCACCTGAGCAGGAAGAGCTGTGAGGTCACACCTGGTTGTGCTTGGTCATGGCTCATCCATTGGGACCATTGGAGGCTAGCTCCTCTGCCGGCTTTTTCTCTAATGGAGTAGCTGTGGCTAAGTAGGTGGTTGAGTCTTAGCAAATCCCTGCGGCTCAGCCTGGAGGGTGACTCAGTGTAGGAGGGAAATCGTGCCCACCAGCTCTCATGGAGTGAGTTTATTGGCCTGAGTCACACGCAGAGTCGTGTGTCAGCTGTCTGTGAGTTGAATGGAGTTTTAGGAGGACTTGTGAGTAGGATGCCTGAGCCCCAAGTGTTTGGGGACCACTGACCAGAGGTGGGCAAGTCCTCAGAGCCAGCTAAACACGGCTAGGGCAGCCTGGGTGCTGAGCAAGGGTCCTAGAGCTCTGACGCCATGGGGAAGGTGAGCAGGGCCAGGTTGGGGGCTGGGGGTGGGGCTGTTGGATGGGAGGCTGGGGGGAGGCCCAGTGATTGTGGTTAAAACTGGACCATGTGGTCAGAGCTCTGCCATGTGCCAGTGGGGTGACCTTGGGCAGGTCATTTCATCTCTGGAGCCTCTGTTTGCTCAGTTGTGAAACAGGGATGCCCACAGTACCTTTTCCACAGGCTTATTTTTTTTTTCCTTTTTGTCTTTTTTTGTGTCCGGCAACGGATCACAACCCTCAGTGTCGCGCCCGTACCGGACCGGGACCGGCAACGGGATCGCAACCCTCAGCGCTGCGCCCTCACCTCGCTCAGCCAGTGAGCGGGAACCGGTCTGTATGTGGGATCTGAACCACCCGTTCCTGTATGGGCCAGAGGTGATTCTTTCTCTCCCTGTCTCTGCTCCTGAGTGTGAGAAGGGGTATGGAGACAAAAGAAAGTATTCACATGTATTAAGAAAGACCCATAACTCAGCTTCAAAGAGACCTATTTCCAACCGTCAAGTCTCTCCCATGAGACTTTGGATGGAGAGGCCCAAGTAAGAGCAAGGCTATTGTTGCGGGGTGGGGTGCAGGTGTGCTGGGTCTGCTGGGTCCCAGGGCCACATGCAATAGCTTCAGGGTGAGACTCCAGCATGGACCTTTACTCATTGGGATTGTCCATGACTGTGGCCTGGTTCCAAGCTATGGCACCTGCAGGGTGGACTTCGGGGGTCCCTTCTCTTTGATGAGGTTTTGCCATCACCCTCCCCACCCGTCCTATCCATGATAGAGTTGGAAGCTGCAAGAGAACTGTTCAGGAGAAGGGAGGCTGGCTTTCCCTGGAGAGGAAAGTGAGGCGTGTCTCCTACTTCCTGAATATATCTGAAGGATCCAGATATTCCCCCTTGCTCCCAGCTAAGATGTGTGTTGTGCTAAGATGTGTGTGCCTCAAGAGTGAAGGAAATAAGGGGATCCCCGATGCAGCACGAAAGAAGCCATGCTGACCCAGAAGAACTCCAATCTGCTACTGGAAGTGTGTGTGCACATGTGTGTGTTGTGTGTATGTGTGTGCATTGCATTCACCATTCAACCTGCAATCAGTGCCCTCCACATTGGATCTGGGAACAAATTCCAAGGATGATGGAGGCAGAGATGAGAGGACTCAGGGGAAGCAGGATCCTCTTGCCTTTGCACCCTCCCCTCCCTCATACTCCTTTCCATCCAGGTTGGCCGTAGCAGGACAATTCATCATTAATCCCTTGAAAACTGCTAAGATAAGCAGCAGAACAGTTTAAAGGGAAGATGGATTTGAGCTTTTTTCTTAGAATCAGGTCTGAGTTATCACTTGCTCCCAGGCTGGGCTGCAAGAAGTTCTCACAACCAAACATCTGGAGCACCAGGATGAGAAAAAAATCTGCCATATCAGCTCGTATTCCAGCCTCCCCCGACTGATGTCCCAGGCTGCTAGAGATCAGAAGCACAGTACCATGGGTCGATCTAATTGCTAGAGCAATATCCCAAACTCAAGTGGGACAGTGATCTGTGAGGAAATGCCTACTTTGTGTGCTTTTCGGAGGGGCAGGTACAGTTTTGGATTCTAGCAGCTCATACCATACTTGGCATGCAGTATTAATATCCAGTTTCTAAACTGAGGCTTCTGTGCTGTGCTAAGTGCTTTATTTAGAGACCATCTCATTTAATCTTCAGTACAATCCCAGGAGACAGATATTGCTATCTGCAGTATACAGATGTGGAATTTGAGGTTCAGGGAGGTTAAATAATTTGGTCAAGGTCACACAGGAAGTGAATGGCAGTCTGAGAATTGTAACTCAGTTCTGTCAGACTTCATACTTCATGTTCTTACCACTAAGTGATGAGCTTCCACGTTAATTAGTTCTTAAATATTTGCTGATGGCCTAGGCATTTGCCCAAATGAGGTTGTCTAAGTGTGTGTCCAGTTCTTTAAGCTAGTGCCCTGGGAAAGAGGAATATGGGCCTCTAACAATGGAAATTGGTAGAAAATGAATATACCCAAACTTCCAAGGTTTGGGGAATATGGCGTTTGGTTCCAGGAGGGTTGGAATCCAGAAAAAGATCTCAGGTTCCATCTTGGTACTTTATTGTCCTGCCCCTGTCTTTCTCTTTTTGACCTCTACCACCCCCGACCTCATTACCTTAAAATTTGCCCAAGCCAGGGGCTGGTGCCTGGAGCAGTGAGTGAAGAGTCAGAGCAGGTTGGATGCTGCCCTAGGAATGTCTGCATCTGCCCGATCAAGGACAGCCAGTCACTGATGGGAACTCTGGTGTGTCAGGTTTCTCTGCCACAGAGTGTGTGTCAGGGATTTGTAGCAGTTTCTGATGAGGCTCCAGACTCCAGGCAGAACTGCTAACACTCCAAGGTTATTTACAGCTGCTGCTGGCAGGGGTTGCTCAAAGGGGAGAACCCACTCTCCTCACCCCCTCACGTGGGACTCTGCCACTTGTGTACTTGGCTGTTCTGGGAAACCTGGTGTTTGATTCCTCCTGCTTCTCTGTCTCTTATGTCTCTGAGAAATTGCCATCCCGAGAGGAACAGGCCATGCTGTCTAGCCTGCCATCTCCCCCACCCACAGTCTCAGTGAGGCAGTTCCAGTGAGTGAGAGTGGATACTGGGGTGTAAGCATTAATGTTCCCCCACCCTTAACAGGCAAAGAGGACTGCCCAAGAACCCTTACTCCATAGGCAGCTGTTTTTTATCCTTTGATAATTCTTTTCTTTCTTCCCCTCCTCCCATTAGTAATTTTTTAAAAATTAAAGCATTTAAAAAATTTGCCAGTAAGCATCTACTGGCAAATCTGGTTATTTAAAAATATATAATTAGATATTCACTGTGTAAAAACACACATGAGAGGGCCGGCCTGGTGGCGCACTGGATAGTGCGCCGCTTGGGAAGCGCGGCGGCGCTCCCGCCCGAGGGTTCGGATCCCACATACAGACCGGTTCCCGCTCACTGGCTGAGCGAGGCGTGGGAGCAACACCGAGGGTTGCAATCCCGTTGCCGGTCCCCGGTCCGGTACGGGGGCAACACTGAGGGTTGCGATCCGTTGCCAGACACGGAAAAAGACAAAAAG